ATGAAGGATAAAGTGAGGGATGAAACGTCGATAAGGCCTATGAAATCGCTCAGTCGTCGGAAAGAAGAGTGGAGAACTCTCGAAAAGTCCAAACGTTGGTATTTATGGGATGGAAACAATAAAAATCTACGCGATTTTTCAAAAACAACATCTAGGGAACACCAAACACGCATTCAGAGACATTAAAGGAAAGAGCAGATTGGCTCAATCGCTTGACAAATTAGACGTAGGTGCATTTATCACCATTTGTGGGGATTTCAAACTCGTTAAAGCTGAATATACGGTCTGGTCCGGCGGAGTGAGCTACAATCTGAGAGATTGCATGCCTCCTCCTACTCGCCTTTGCAGCGTGCTATGCTATTCGCGTCCGGAGTAATCTTCCGTTTTCTCCGAAGTAGTTGCTTCGTGCACAAGCGCATCAGATCCGGCAAACGACTCCAGACGTTTCCTACCGTGGCAGTGAGTCTATCGGTATGCCTGCCGTTGTAAAACCAAGATCAGATCGAGTGGGATCTCCAAGCAACATGGAACAATTGTATTTTTGCCGTCACAGGATAAAAATTGACTGTGAATGCTCCAAGGCGGGCTTCCACCATAGTAATGATTTACATTCTCGTTTAAGATCTGACAACAGGACCTAACTTTCGACAATTGGCAGAAGATTGTAGTAGTTCCGGGTAATTTGACCGGATCAAGCGAAATTCTTAATCGTTTCGGGTGATAAGGCAGGATGTTAAAATACCTTAAATGAAGAAAGCTCACGAGCGTCTTAGTTTTTGCATGATTTTTTTGTATGATTAATTACTGGTATTTTTTTATTTTTATGCAAACTGAGAGTGAAAATGGACTGGTTTAAGGATCAAGCAAATTACCTAGATATTTTTATTCAATACAGGACTCCCATAGGCTTGCCTGACAAGCGAACAGGCATTTCTAGTTACATTTATTGAGGGTTATACTCTTTTAAGACAATTGGTAGGTGGACATACAATTTCGATAAAATAGTTCATAATGCAACTCAAAGCCGCCGAGTTTTTTAAAGTTGGGTCAAATGAATTATTCAACTCTGTCAAGGCCCCTCCCCTTACTAACAATTATGAACTTCAACTAGAGTGAACTTTACGATATTTTTAAATTTTTGGTGAATGAGCCACGTAGCTTAGTGATGAAATGCGCGAGAGTATGTTGCCTTGAGCGAGAAGAAAAGCACAATATTCTGCGCGCCTAGACACATGCTAAGATAATTGCACCAGCCTGCGTTAATGCGTTTGTATGGTGAGCTCATGGCATGGCACCCGCGGGGACAAACCATTGAGATGTACTCCTAAGCACTAATGCCTTTGATTAAACGTGAAGTCCGATCTGAGAGTGCATAATCGTGGACCCGGTTTTTTCCAATGGCGACTTGCCATGCCTGGCCAACGTCAAGTGATGACTTCGTTTTTTTCACAAGAAATGCTGTACAATTTTATGTCTAGGTACAGGAGCGAAAATCGTATATCCTGCATGGCGTGACTTAAAGTGACGTAATACCTAATGAACTCGGCGAGCCTGTCACAATGGCTAAAGTTAGTAAGGAAACGGCGTTACCGTTGCGAATTCCAGGCTCGATTCTCAAGGGAAAGAGAAGAAGGGAGACGCCAGGTGAGAGGAATAGTTCATTTTGTACAGAAATAGTGGAGGATAAGTAGAAGGAAGTTGGTTGTCGGACGACTGCACGTCTGGCCAATAGGGGGCTGGTCCAAAGTGCATGAGCGCGGGAGTCTTCACAAGTGCCTCCAGCGAGGTCGTGTGTGAGTCAGCCTTAGGGAGATGATTGGCCAGACCGAACTGGCATCGGTCTACAAGTGCGCACGTGTTAAAAGTCGCGAGAAGCGAAATGTTGAGCATTGCACGCGGTCTCGGGCCATTAAAGGCCTTCCTTACTTCTGAGTGCACGACTGTATTGACGTGAATTTGTATGAAATGAAGAAATTCACGTCGGGAGACGCCGAATTCGAAGTTTCAAATGACGCCGACAATTCCCCGTTCACCTGAAATTAGGCCCACTGACGTTTCGATCTTTAAGCCACGACTGTCCGCGTGCGTTAGCCAGTTGCCTCTCTATCGGGCATTGGATGCAGCTACTCGCATATTGGGACGACAAAACTTGCTAGTTGCTACTTTCTACGGAGCAATTTAGGACTAGTAGTCGCACACTAACGTTTGTTTGAGAGACTAGATGATGATGTTGGCCTTGCTGAGCGTGTCGAAAATGGTCAGAGTGGTTCGCTGTCTGTGAGTTTGCCAGAGGTCCCATAGGTCAAACTGATTGCGCCGCCAGTGATCTGGCTCGACGGAGGACCGATGGGGGGGGGCACGGGCACAACTGCCCGAAGCGACAGCCTGTGGCAAATGTGTTCAGAGTCTCTTATAAGTTCCTTCTGCTCATTGAAGCTTATTTACTTTAATCTGTTTTATCTGCCTTCGGATTTGGGCAGCCTTCATGCTGTCTTCTCCCCCATTCCAACACATTTTAGAATGGCCTGCACGCCAACAGTTGGGTATCGGCACACGAGGTGAGCAACTACTGTCATAGGGCTCAAAAGTCCCTTGAGCGTAAGGCAGACTTATGGAGCTTCCAAGCACTGCTGTGTCCCCAAATTTCCAGTTCTTCAGTAACAACCTATGCTCAAGGGGACTGGAGGGGATGTGATCGCAGTGGATGCTAAATCCAGCAACCCATCAACGCTTGCCATGAACGACCTAGTCCCAACACCCTACACTCTCGCACCTGAGTCAATCAGTGTTCGTTTACCGATTTCGATGAAATCTGCTAAATGCACCAACAAGTTGGCACAGAAGGTGACAGCTTCAGGGGTTAGCTTTAAAGTGATAGCGAACGTAGTTAGCGGCTCCATACTCTTCACCTTCACCTGGAATCTCGAAAACTAAATGGAATCCGGCGTAGGACGCCTTATCCAATGCAAGCCGAAACACCGCCTAACTTAGTCTTACGTGGCAGTAGACTTTGCGCGGGTACTACTATACTATTTACCCTAGGCTCACTCTTAGTCAGTGTAAAGACAGGCCCAATGAGGTCGAGACTGATACGGCTACTACTGTTTCTACTTCTAGTGACTATCAATGTTGCCGAGTCTTAGTAATACTCGTACTATTTCTGATGCTAACATTTGTCAGAAGTCACGCTGAGTTTAAAATAAAGGTTGTAGCTCATATCTCCTTTGTCCTCAGCAAGAAATAGAAAATTTGTGTCTATGATATTTTGAGTAAATACAGGATTAAGGCCCTGAGAACATCAGGGCTTGCCATATTTATCGCCCTCTTAACTCTATCCTCCCAGGCTGTGTTCGTTTCAACTAGGGGTTGGACTACGAGTACGCGTGCTGTGAAGGTCCCCATGTGAATGAGTGATTGCAGCGTGACGCTGACTTCGGAGGAGGCCACAGTTATCACGTCAGCTGTGGACCTTCGAAAGCCCGACGAGTACTGCGTCCCGTTGATGAGGCAGTGCTTGCTAGATCGCTTATAGTAAGAAAGGTTATTGCGATGGCTAAATTACCCTTGGTCACTGAATAGGTATAGGAATTGTGCTATTTAAGTGATTCTGTTAGCCGGTCCTCCCTGAATTCCTGGTCCGAATAATCTGCTTCTCGAACCTGATATGTTTGATAAGTGGTAACTGTGTCCAACGGCGTGTGCCGGAATCAGAAAGGATTTTTTAGTTGCGTTAACTTTTTCCATGGCGTTCAAACGTGATCCGTTTAGGAATCATTTCGAATTTTGAGACTGCACCACCTTTATGAAGACCAAGTCGAATACATCTCGTGTAGTAGTTATTTTTGCTATTTTCACTTCATTCAGACGACAATATCGCATTAGCACGCTATTTTGGTTGACCTATTTGGTTGACGCTATTTGTGGTTGACCTGTCATACAGTTGTTTCTATTACTTGGCAGTTGTCGATCAAATCACGTAGTTTGTAGCTAATAAATAGTTCTGGTGCCTGGTCCACGTCTACCGATGTCGTCACCTTCTCCACGAGTACTGTTGTACACTTTTATTTTCACTTGGAATGTAAGAGGGAAGACCGTATTTCCTACATGATGTGGCATGTGCCACTTGCCAAGTCCTTCTCATTTCTGTCCGAGAGAATGCTTCGGCATGAATTTTTAGAAGCTAATGAAGTGCGCATGAGTAGAAGAATGACGCGAGGCTTCGAATGATTCCGGTAGTCCCCATATCACTTGAGTGAAGGCCAACTGACTTTCCGGCATTTAGGACGGTTGGGTACATTTTCCATTGCTGAGGTCACCCCTAGCTTGAGAACTGGACGGTTAAAGAGTACTGGCTGGATGATTTTGTGGATGACATGACTCTCTGTATGTCTTCGCAAAAGGAATCCCTGACTGGCACTAAATGCGGCTGGTAGCAGATTAGGACTGTCGAAAGTTGTTTGTGTCGACAACAGAGGATTCCCTAAATCACAAACCAGGGAAGACTGAATAAACTGGAACAGCCTTACTGTGGGAAAAGGAATTGTACAAAGGTTATGCCAGGAGCCAGCTGCTAGTTATCTCTGCAGGCTAGGTGTGTCCGTGAAGTAGTGTACGGTTTTCAACTTTTTCCTGCGGGATGTATGCTCTCTCACCTGCTGCCAATCGAATGAATCAAGGCGTATCGATTGGCATTGAGTGTACGTGCGCATGAATCAGCGAGTCGACAGATAACGTGGAAGAGGCTGATAGCGCGCAGAGTAGATGATTACGCGTGGGTGCAAGCCTTGGCAGAGCGGAAGCAGAATGAGTCAGCGCGGCGGCACTGGGCGCGAGGACTCCCTCAGGGTGGTGGCACTTGCTATTATGTGGGTGAGAGCACTCTTCAAACGGGCCCAAACTCACTGCTGCAACCCGGAAGCAAAAGCACATTAGACCCCATACCTCAGTTATCAGTTTTTGCGGAATGGTGTTCATGCGAAGGCGCTTTTACGACGTTGCCTATGTGTTTGGTCCTGGAGGACGCAACCAGAAACGGCATTTATTTCCTTTGTCATGCTCGAATCGCTGGTTGCGAGACGGGGTGGCGAATTACCGCAAGTGCTTACCACACCCAAGAAACGGGTCACGAGTTTAACTTCTCAACCACGAAGCTAATCGCCCACGCCAGATGCAAGCAAAGCAGTGAGCTAATGGAAGTCTGTGCCTGTGATGAGGACTCAGCCCATCGACATATCGATCTGGCACCGGCATACGCAGCCCTGCGCAATCAATTTCAGACAAGTTAACGTGATTTTTGATTAGCTCCTGCTCCTGCCTACCAGTGGCTGGATGTTTCGCTGTTTGTATCTCCTATGAGGACCTCCAGTATGACTTCGAAAGTTCATATGTGTAAATGTAGGTTTATGGCGATCTAACAG